TGTGTCCAAAATTTTTTTGACAAATTTTTTTATCAAAATTTTTTTGTGTCAAAATTTTTTATCAAAATTTTTTGTGTCAAAATTTTTTTGTGTCAAAATTTTTTGGGTCAAAATTTTTTGACAAAAATTTTTTTGGGTCAAAATTTTTTGTGTCAAAATTTTTTTGTGTCAAAATTTTTTGTGTCAAAATTTTTTGGGTCAAAATTTTTTTGTGTCAAAATTTTTTTGGGTCAAAATTTTTTTGACAAAATTTTTTTGGGTCAAAATTTTTTGTGTCAAAATTTTTTTGGGTCAATATTTTTTGGGCCAAAATTTTTTTGATAAAAATTTTTTGTCAAAATTTTTTTGTGTCAAAATTTTTTTGACCAAAATTTTTTTGGGTCAAAATTTTTTTGACCAAAATTTTTTAGGCCAAAATTTTTTTGACCAAGATTTTTTTGGGTCAAAATTTTTTGACCAAAATTTTTTTGACCAAAATTTTTTTGGGTCAAAATTTTTTTGACCAAAATTTTTTGACCAAAATTTTTTTTGGGTCAAAATTTTTTTGGGTCAAAATTTTTTTGGTCAATATTTTTTTGACCAAGATTTTTTTGGGTGAAAATTTTTTGGGTCAAAATTTTTTGGACCAGATTTTTTTTGGACCAAAATTTTTTTGACCAAATTTTTTTTGACCAAGTTTTTTTGGGTCAAAATTTTTTTGACCAAAATTTTTTTGACCAAAATTTTTGACCAAAATTTTTTGGGTCAAAATTTTTTTGACCAAAATTTTTTTGGGTCAAAATTTTTTGACCAAAATTTTTTAGACCAAAATTTTTTTGACCAAGATTTTTTTGGGTCAAAATTTTTTTGACCAAGATTTTTTTGGGTCAAAATTTTTTTGACCAAAATTTTTTGACCAAGATTTTTTTTGGGTCAAAATTTTTTTGGGTCAAAATTTTTTTGACCAAAATTTTTTTTGGTCAAAATTTTTTTGGGTCAAAATTTTTTGGGTCAAAATTTTTTGGGTCAAAATTTTTTTGGGTCAAAATTTTTTGACAAAAATTTTTTTGGGTCAAAATTTTTTTGGGTCAAAATTTTTTTGTGTAAAATTTTTTTGTGTAAAATTTTTTTGGATCAAAATATTTTGGGTCAAAATTTTTGGGTCAAAATTTTTTTGGGTCAAAATTCTTTTGACCAAAATTTTTTGGGTCAAAATTTTTTTGACCAAGATTTTTTTGGGTCAAAATTTTTTTGGGTCAAAATTTTTTTGTGTCAAAATTTTTTTGGGTCAAAATTTTTTTGGGTCAAAATTTTTTTGACAAAAATTTTTTTGACCAAAATTTTTTTGACTAAAATTTTTTGGACCAAAATTTTTTTTAACCAAAATTTATTTCACCAAATTTTTTTTTTCTAAAATTTTTTGGACCAAAATTTTTTTTGACCAAAATTTTCTGGGCCAAATTTTTTTGACCAAAATTTTTTGGACTAAAATTTTTTTGACTAAAATTTTTTGGACCAAAATTTTTTTCTCAAAATTTTTTGGGGTAAATTTTTTTTGACCAAAATTTTTTTGACCAAAAAATTTTGTGCCAAAATTATTTTTCCCAAGATTTTTTGCGCCAAATTTTTTTTCCCAAAATTTTTTTGATAAAATTTTTTTTCCCAAGATTTTTTGGGTTAAATTTTTTGGACCAAAATTTTTTGGACCAAATTTTTTTAACCAAAATTATTTGGTTTTGACCAAAATTTTTTTGACCAATATTTTTTTGTGTAAATTTTACTGTGAACACGGTGCAATACCAGTCATTCTGCCAGTTATTATTGAACATGGCACGAGATGGCGCCAAACATAAATGCATCATGCGGCATTTATGCATTCAGCACACGCTTCGAAATACTGCAAGGTCGATTATGAAATAACGACCTTGCAGCTGTTTCATTGCACTTATTACTCGAGTACTGAGCGTCAACTCAACTTTTTGTGTTGGGTTTCATTTTGTTCAAATGAGCAATCAATTCAATGTGATTGGGTCGTCTCATCTGGACTTTTTTGGATCCGTCTTTGGTCGACCGAGACTCTAGTCGACTAGCGATCGCGAAGGATTTCAAAGTCGTCGTCGTCGTTCTCCGAGTTGGATTGATTTTTGACATATAATATTAGTAAAAACTTGTCAAATAAACCAAC